GGGGGGGGGGGGTGCCGCACAGCCCTGTACCCGGGTAGGGACAAGACCGAACGGGGCAGCCTCACACAGACAAGCGGGACCCAGGAGGCTGGGGGACGACTGCTCCGCCCGCACCATCCTGTGCATCGCCTGCCTCAGTTTCCCAGCCCTGCCGCGTGCCCACAGGCGGTGAGCACAACCAAGGCGCGCACTGCAGCCCGGCAGCCCAGCTTTAGCACGCCACCCTGTCCCAGTGATGAGCGACCAGCACAGCAAAGAGGCAGATTCCAGAAACGACCCAGGGGCTCGGTGTGCCCTCTGCCACCTCCTCCCGGCAGCCCCCGACAGCCAAGATTGCTGTATGAACCACTTCTCGGCCGGGAGGGGCAGCGGGACAGCGGGGCCCTCCTGACCCCTTGCCCCCCTGTACTCTGTCTTCAGGCAGAGATCAAATGCGGGCCCCGTGGACCACGGGAAGCCCATCGCAAGGCTGCCTGGGCAGGAGCAGCCACTCCTGGCCGGATCCTACCTGAGCACTCGAGTCCTACAAAACCAGCAACAAAAACCATGCTTGCAAACCCCAGGCCAGCAGTCAGCACGACCCAGAGGAGCTCAAGGACATCGGCAGTGTAAGTGTGGCGACCTGAGCACAAGAGAAGGCTAAGAATGAGCTTCCTCATCAATTTAAAACACGAAATTGCCAGCAAACTATACAAGGAATCTGGCTCTTGTGCCACCTGCTGAGTTCATTCAAACTGAGTCCTGGTGTTAAGACTCCCGGGCCTGGACACTTGGACGCCGGGACCATGGAGACCTCCTCTGAAGCCTGGGCTCTGCGCTACTGAGGGGATGCGGCCTCACCTGCGCCCGGGGAGCACCAAACAGCCGAAGCCACCAGCGGCCGTCATGCACCGTGCCCCCCACTGCCCTGGGGGTGCCCGCTCAGACGGCTGGAACCCGTAACTGAAGTGGTTTTCTCCACCATGGAGGCCCAGCAGGGCTTTCGGGCAATTCCCAAGGGCTCAGCGGCTTTCCTCTCCCCAGGGAGAAACAAGAGTCCATTCTTTTTTCTTATAACAAAAGAACCGTCTCCCAGAACACGTCTTCCTTACCTAAGCTCATCAATAAATTCGTGAGGACAACACAGACACTCCCTGCGAAACCAACTTGCCTCCTTTCATTCTGATCTATTCTTAGAAGGGTGAAAAATTTCCCGAGGGGGTTCTGGATGGCAAAGCAGAGATGCCTCCTGGATTAAACATTTAATATCCAAGAGTAACCACTCCGCGTAATTTCCTCGTGGCTCTACGCTGGGAACAGGAAGGACTGCCTTTCCCACGGCAGGTGGGCTGCTCCCAGGTGTATTAAATCAGTATTAAAACTCCGCTTCCCTGGAGCTGGATCAGCTCTAGGAGTCCTGCAAGGTTCTCAGAGGTAAACTTTTCCCTGAGTCAAAGACAAAGCTCAAAAACAATCTTTCTCCCCCCCCCAAACCGCACAAACACATCCCACAGCTGCTTTCTGGGACCTTGTAAGCTGCTAAAACATCACCTATTTAAGGATTAGCCTGGTTAATAATATTTTGAGCCATGAAAATTATGTGAAAGTCAAATTTCAGAATCCAAAAATAAAGTTTTATTGGAGAACAGCCACACTTGCTCACGTGACGTCTGTGGCTACTTTCGCAATCATAATCGGATGGGCCCACAGAGCTGAAAATATTTCCTCTCTGACCTTTTAGTAAATATTGCTGAGCCCGGCTCTAAAAACCACTTGCACAGCATGGGGACCCTCAAGCAGCATCAAAGAGAAACTCAGACGTCACATGGCACTCAGCCACATGCGCACTGCACCTTGGGAGAAGCTCCCAGCCCCAGTCAAGCCTTCGGGTGACTGCAGCCCTGGCTGCCAGCAAGACTGCACCTCCCGGGAGACCCTGAGCCACAGCCATCCAACTAAGCGGCTCCCAGATTCCCAAGCCTCAGAAACTGTGAGACAATAAATGCTTATTGCCGTCTTAAACTGTTAGGTTTTCGGTAACGTTATAGTGCAATAGAAAACTAATACAGGTGGGGAAAGAAAGAATTTCCATGCTGCGCAAGAAAATGTACTAAGTGGCCTACTGTTTCCTTTCCAACTTTAGGCTGTGCTGGGAAGTTCCCTGATGAGGGACCCAGGAAACCTGGGCCCCCCTTATACACTGTCCTCTGGAAAGTGGAGCCCCCTGTCACTGAGGCCCCTACCCTGCACTCCATGCCCAGGACACATGCAGGTTTCCCGGACCAGGCCCATGCTCAGCTGATCAATGGGGTCCCCTTTTCCCAATACACACACACACACTCTCACTGATGCATGGATGCTGCCTTCCTTACGGAGCTGAACCTATCCGGACAAGCACTTCTGGAGAATTCCTGAATTGCTCTCAAGGTACCAGTGGCAGCCGACCTTCCCCCACTGGGGTCCAGAAGAATCTCTGAGCCCTGCCTCCACGTGCATGTTGAAAGCAAGTCCAGTGCCCCCCTCCTGTGCCTGCCCTGTACCTGATGACCCAACCAAAGCACACCTCACACCCTCCTCTGCTCGGCCCAGGGAAGATGCCCAGCGCCCCCTGCCTTCGGCTGCTCCCACCGCTGCCAGCAGAGGGGCTTCTCCTCAGAACGCAGAGCAGTGAGCCCACGAGGCACCATGGACACCTCCCCGTTACCAGACACTCCCAGGAACTAAGAGTTGCGTGGGGTCCTTTGCACAGAAGAGGGGTAAGGAGACCAGTCTGCCCGCTCCCAGAGCTGCACACGCCCAGGGGCGTGTCTGCAGGGGGACAGCTGAACACGCTCCGGCCCACACACGCCACCGAGTGAAGCTCCAGAGAGCACGTCGCCACATGGTTTATGAAGTTTGTAAACACCTGACGCAGAAGGAGCCTGGGGGACCCCACTGTGGGGGCAGCAATGTTGGATGTGCCGGGGAAAGAGGTTCACCCTGCACAGTGCACACGGGCGTCCTGACCACAGAGCTTGGTGCACCACCGGCTCTGGAGCCCCAGGAAAGAGTCACTGGCATCTCACTGTTGCCTCTTTTTAAAACTCTGCAAGCAGAAAGGAAGGATTGCCCTTGTCAAATGTTTCACGGAGCTGCCAGCCTGAGAAACCGCGGTGCAAACTGCAGATCAGAACTACAGGGCTGAGGAAGACAGAGTGGAAAGAAGGTGCCCGCACAAGGACACAGGTCCTTCCAGGATACGCCCCGCCGGCGCCGCCCCCAGCCCCGCGGCGACCCAGGCAGTACGTACAGCATGTCGGGGCAGTTGTCCGGCTTGTCCAGAAGGCCACCCTCCATAACGAAGCGCAGGACTTGCTCGTTGGACAGGCCCTGGTACGGCTGCTCGGCCAGCGTGGCAATCTCCCAGAGGACGACTCCAAAGGACCTGCAGTGCGAAGAGCGACATGAGGCCTCAGAAAGGGTGCAGAGAGCCATGCTGCCCACCTGCCAGCGTCCTTCCACCTGGCCCCGAGCACGTGCCGGCCAGCGCGCCAGGCACCGCGCCCCCAGTGGGACATCCATCCTTATTTGCTGCCACCGTGTCTCCTGCACAGTAACGGAGCCCTGGTTGGGGGCCTGAGGACGCTGAAGTGCAAGGAGCTTCAGGGGCCCTTGAACTTGAACCACAAGCAAGCCAAGTGAGGACAGGGCCGTCTCCCAAACGTGCTTTATCCCAAAGTAATCCAATGTGGATCACCAGGTCCTGCCAGGACAGCGATCTGTGGCCTCAAATGTGGTCTGGGAGAGTCAAACTGTCTGACAAGCTCCCAGTTTGGGAAACCTCTACCCGGTGGCTCTCAGTGCTGGCTGCACAATAGAATCATCCAGCGGAGGTGTGAAAATCTCCCAGGTCCAGTGGGGCCATGGAGGGGGAGGCCTACACCCCAGGAGCTGGGGAGCTGCTGGCCTGGGAAGGGCTCAGCCTCAGAGGTGGGGATCGAGGAGGGTGCCACGGCTGGGCAGGAAAGATCACGGGCAAGGAAGAATCCTTAGCACAGACTTGCGCTGAGGGCAAGGGGGCAGCCAGGGAATAAGGTTAGCAGGAGAAGCAGTGAGGCTCCGCCGTGCATGCAGCGTGGCCTGTTGGTTTAGAAGACCCAACTACTGCAGGACAAATTAAAACAGTAAGGCAGGCACAGGGACATTTCAGACACATAACGTTTAAAAAGGTGAGGCTGTCATCTGCAAAACACAGGTGCCTTCCCAGCTCACGTCACCACCTCTGCATCTCGATGTGACGTCGAGCACTGTGGTGACAGTAAGGAGATAACCGTCTGGGACAGGCGGATTGCAAAACAGATCTCGGACTGGAGCTCAAGAAGCAATCGCTCCTTGCCAGGTGATGTTCACACGCTATTTGCAATTCGCACCTCTCTTCAAAACAGCACCCAAGGCCCCTGGACTGTGGAAGGTCCAGGAGCTGAGCAAGAAATGACGCCGGGCACTGTTTACATAGCTGCTCCACGCGGTCCCCCCGAGAGCTGCGTAAACAGGCCACCGCTGCAACACGGCAGCAGTGGGATCTCCCTGGGGGACGGCCAGGGGCCCAGCTGACGCTCTGGGAGGCAGATGGCCGGGGCCTCAGCGCGCCAAGAGCCCCAGTCGCGTTCAGGGCGCGCCTGCCTGGCCACGATGCCGCTGAGGGATCGCACCAATAACAGGGACCCCGGGAGTCCCGTGCGTCCTCTGCGGATGAGCTCTCCGCCCCAAGAGACGTTTATTACTCGGGGGGACGTTTATATCTGCATCTCTTTGTGCCCATTGAAAGACAACACGGCACTGAGACCAACAGGGCAACACATCAAGACTCAGGCCCTCCAGGTCTGAACAGAGCGATGCCTGCAACCGGAAGGTCCAGGGAGGCAGCTCCCCTGCCCGCGCACAGGGAATGCATTTATTGTGAAAGAGAAAGCGAGAGGAGGCAGGCGGGGAGCAGCAGAGAGGCGAGGTTTGCGGGCATGTCCCGGCCCCCGCGCCGGGGGCTCCGAGCCGCTCAGCGAGCGGCTAAGGACGGAGAGGCACGTGGGTCCCGCAGCTTCTTCCCATCCCACAAGTGCCGTCTGTCCTCAGCCAGCCCTCTGACAGCAGGAAGGCCCCAGGGACGCGGTGTGGCCCACGGATCACTGAGCCAGCGCCGGGCGTGGGTATCGGGGAGCAGGCACCGGGAGGCAAACGAAGCTGTCGGGACCCAGCCAGGGGGACCTGCGGAGGCCGGAGGGGCCCGCGTCCCGGGAAAGGCCTCTCCTACCAGACGTCGGAGTGAGTGGTGAACACGCCATCCTTCAGGGACTCGGGGGACATCCAGCGCACAGGCAGCAGGCCCTTCCCTCCCTTCCGGTAATAGTCGGTCTCGTAGATGTCCCTGGTCATGCCGAAATCTGCGCGGCGGAGAGAAGCAGGAGAGTTACGCCGCTGGAGCAGCTCCCGGGGCACAGGCTCAGAGGCGGCATCGCTGCTGCAGAGGAGGCCCTGCACCCGCGTCCGGGGCCCGCAACCTCACAGGCCGAAACAAGCAAACACCAAGACAGCTCTGCTCCCCAACACCCTTACAATCTGATTCTTTTTTTAAATTTATTTTTTTATTATTATTTTTATTTTTATTATTATTTTTTAAATATATCTTTATCGATTTCAGAGAGAGGAAAGGAGAGGGAGAGAGAGACAGAAACATCCATGATGAGAGAGTCACTGATCGAGCCCGCACCCCGGGCCTGTGCCCCGACCGGGAATCGAACCCCGATCGCCTGGATCCCAGGTCGACGCTCCACCGCTGAGCCCCGCCCGGCCGGGCTACAATCCGATTCTTTTAAAAAGCGAATCCCTTTCTTGCATTTCAAATGAGAGGCAGTTACCAAATGAGCAAGTTCCAGAGTTTCTCAAGAGTATGCACTGCGCGGACCAAGGCCATCCGCGCGCGGTCCTCTACCTACTGGGAGGCAGAAGCAACCTGGCTCTCCTTTACCCGACGGCACTGCCCCATCGCCACAGGGAGGAACGTGGGTTCCCCGTCTAATAAGGGGGATGCTGAGTGCCAATTCATGATGGAAAAACGACAGTAAGAATCCTGAGAGATGCTATTTACCAGGCCCCTGGCACTATTACTCAGTAATGTTTTTCAACATAATACTCCCACTCGTTTTTGAAAATGTCTCCCATTTTCCATGTCTCTAGAAGATGTCACGTAATTATGTTTGATGGCAGGCTTGCTTGATAACCCTAAATTATTGCTGCTTTGTCAGACTGATTTCCCACTCGGCGACACAGCCCTTCCCTCCCAGGGACTCTCCCGCGCTCCTTCCCGGGAGAAAGGGCTGCTTTCCTTTGAAAAACATTCACGTCTCTACCTCGGCCACAGAAAGGTAAGGCCACAAACCGAACCAATCCCTGGACGTTAACCAACATCATTTGCTTGGGCTCTGTATGCCAAGGATCACCCCGTTGCCTCTGGTACAATTCCTTGTCAGATTTAGAACCCATGAGATGCTGGGCAATGGGAAACAGTCCTGAGCCCTAGTAAAGGGGAAAACGTAAGGTCTTCCCTAAGACCCAGCCCAGGGACGCGCCCGTCAGAGGACTCGCCTCTGCCGAAAGTAAAACAGGGAATCGAGAACACAAGCTATTTCCTCTAACACAAAAGAGTTTCAAATTTCTGGAAGAAAACCTGTAAGTGCAAAGAAAATGTCACCATAAAATGTGCCACATGGTTACACGGGCCCCGGCGATCTGGACTTCAAATGGCAAGGGACACAATGGCCCCTCGCTCGGAGCGGGGGAGAAAGGAGCGAAGCCGAGCCCCCACCAAGTGCCGGGGAGGGGCGGAAGGAGGGCAGTGACGACCGCAGGGGCCAGCACGGGGGACCTGCCCGTGCCAGGCATGTGCCCGCCTGCCGTCCAGTAAGGCTCCCGCCCCCCACCGCATGGGTCTGTTACACTGTCATCCCCCTTTCAGAGGTGAAGAAACTGAGGCACATAACATAGTAAGGCACGTGCCCCAAGTCTCTCATCCAGCAGGGGCAGAACCAGAATTTAAGCTCAGGCCCACCTGGCTCTGCAGCGCTGGGGCAGGGGAGCTGGTCAGCATCCCCGTGGGGACAAGCTGAGTCCCCGCAGAGAAGCGGGGGGAATGGGAAGGGAGGGGAAGCAAGTGGGGTCACCAAGGAAGCCCAGACAGTGGCCAGAGAGACTCTTCCCCGAACAGCTTGGGGCAGGACAGTCTCTGGGCTTCAAGGGGCACGAAACGTGTGGAGGCCTCCAAGGGCCAAATCCAGGGACACACCAGAGGCTCCCCAGTGAGTAACTGATGACCAAGGAATGTCTGCTCTAGGACATAGCTCCATTCATTACCTCCAGCACCCACAAATAAACATCAAGATACTAACCCCTCCTTTGGAAACTGTTCAGGAGGGAGAGTTACTGTCCACTAAAGGGCCAAAACATTTCATTCGAAACCATTGCTAACGGAACAAAACACTAGGAAAGGAAGGTGGGGGTTTCCCGAACAGACAGTTCAACAGCTAGACAAAGAGGTTAATTTTAAATAGTTTTGTCCGCAGCTTTTCTGGATAAATACGTGGTATTTTTCTGAACCATCCTAATCTCATCCTGGGAAGACGAGGGTCCTGGTAAGAGCGGGTGGGTCCCGGAGCAGCCCTGAGGTGGTGTGTGTTTTATCAGGCAGATTGAAAGACCAAAGCAAACGCCAAACCTGAAGGCTGAAATGAATCCTAACCTGTGATCAGAAATACAACCCAACCCCTTTTTTTGGTGTCACAGTGGGTGGCGGCCACAGGGGGTCTCACCAGCAGGTTGGTCAGTTAAGTAAGTGTGACAAGAGCTTAGAGGCTAATCAGCCTGGGTGTGAACCCCAGCCAGCAGCTTATCTGCCCTCACCCGAGGGATTACCCCTCCCTGTTGCTGCTCTTCTGTGCAGGGGCTTCACCGTTAGGAAACTCCACAGACCCCT